TGGTGCATTGAATATACTTTCCCCATACTACAATTCAAAGGCATCAATTCTTCTTTGATCTTCCTTATTCATTGTCCAACGTTCAGACACTGAGGATGAAAATAAAAGTTTCTAATGAAGTGAGACAGGAGCAAAACAAGGGTCAACCAAATTAACGAGTAGTATTAATTCTGCCAATCTGGGCTCTACCGCTACTACTATAACTATAAATGTTCCTTTACTGTTTATAGGGGTTTTCAGAGTCCTATTATTTAAGAAGTAGATGACCAATCCTACTTCCTAGTCTGTCTTCATCTGGGAGCTCTACTAAAACCTGTCCACCATGTGCAACCATTGTGATAGATGGAGGAAAAGATGGAAATTGTCAACAACTTCATCTTACTTGTATCTACAATTAACACCTTGGGTACCAGCAGTCAGGAAATCAGGAGATGTATTGCACTGGAAAAGTCTTCAGTTAGGGCCCTCCCCAAATTATTAAGGAGTAATGATGTCAGTTTGAGAACTAAGGTGTGTCTTATTCAAGCTGTGGTCTTACCAATCACTTGCTATGCATCTGGAAGCTGGACAATGAATAACAATTACAGAAGAAGAATTGATGCCTTTGAGCTGTGGTGTTAGAGAAGAGTGCTGTACATCCCACTGACTGCCAAAAGAACAAATGTGTCTTGGAACAGGTGCAGTCAAAGTGCTGTTTAGAAGCAAAGATGATGAAACTTTGCCTCATGTACTTTGAGTATGTTGTTAGAAGGGGGTTTTCCTGGAGAGGGACATGATCCTTGGAAAGGTGGAGAGTAGGTGAAGGAGAGGAAGACCCTTGACCACGTGGATTGATATGGTGACTGCTACATTGGGCTCTACTGTGTCAGGAAATGTGAGGATGGCACAGGATAGAACAAGGTTCAGATTTGTTGTTTATGGGATTGCTATGAGTTATACTTGACTTGATGGCACCTAACAACAACAACAATAACATTAATTCAGCCAAAGTTAGAGATCATGAATGCACAACCCTGATCAGATAAGTGGCTTTAACTTTGCAGGATGGAACAGTTTAATATATTAATCTCTTTATCTACCATAATTTATAACATGGGCTGGCCAACTAGTGAACCCCAAAAGAAGACATTTTCAGCAGATTTTGTCCAGTCAGTGGAAAGAATCATTTTATGTGGTTCTGTTCATATTAGTGGATAGGAGACTGATGCGATCTTGTGCCTTGTTCTTAATCTTTGTAATTCCCTGAAGAAAGCACTGCATAGTATTAGACATTTCCAGAACCAGAGAAAGCTTCTCTGGCAGACTCTAACGCCAAATCGTCAGCAGGAGGATTTGGAAAGTTGACTGAGGCTTAACAACTGAGATAGAAAAAGGGCTAAGTGAGTGGCTGGTTTGTAATAACCAGAATACTGAATTTACTGATTGGCAGAGTTCATGCCAGCCTAACTTCATAGCAAAATGTTAAATGGGAACTTAAAAATGAGGCTAGCTTCTCCCCAGGGAACCGACTTTTAGTAGAACATTTTCATGCTGCAAAAATTTAGAACTTATCTAATTGTGTAGGAAGAAAGGAGGAATGTGATACTGGATTTAATCAGACCCTGTAGTCTAAAATGCCTTAATCTCATTATAATCATATGATTTTTTTTTTTAGACTAGGACTTTTATTTCAATACTCAGTTGCCTGGGTAGGTATGGGAGAGTCAGTATTTTCTTAATGGAGAAGAAACTTACTCAAACCAGTTTAAAAGAAAAGTTGGAGCTGGAGCTAGAGTGATTACAGTAAGAACACATACCTCCAATAACCTTTACTACATCTAACCCTCCTAAGGACATACTAGAAAGCCAAGAATGGAGACTATTTGTCCACTCGTTACCACATGGTCTGTCTTTGCTCTGAGATACCTCCCCTACTCCATGGTCTTTTCTGTCATTTGCTATGCATCTGAGAGCTAGATAATGACTATGGATGACAAAAGAAGAATTAATACCTTTAAACTGTGGTGTTGGAGACAAGTGTTGAAGATCCCATGGACTTCCCAAAGAAAAAGCAGATATATCTGGGGAAGGTGCAGCCAGAGTGACCCTTGGAGACAAAGATAATGAAGCTTCATCTCACATATTTTGGGCATGTTACTAAGAGAGGTTATGCCTTGGGGAGGGACAACATGCTTGGAAAGGTGGAGGGGTGACGAAAAAGATAAAGACCCTCAACCAGGTGTGGGAACTTCAGCAATGAGCTTGGAAATGTCAGATATCATGAGGCTGGCATGGTATAGGACAGCATTCAGAATGATTGTTCATAGAGTTACTGTGAGTTGTACTCATCTACCCAACTACAACAGCATTCTACTGCTATTCTGTGGAGACTATCCTCTCTACTTACTATTTAGCTAGATAAAACCCAACATTCCTGCCCCAACTCTACAACCTTTAATGTCTCCCACTAGCAGAGGCCTTGTTGAAATTGTCAAGAGGTAAGCTGATTGGTACTGGCTAGCCAAGGAATGGATTGCGTATCTATCAGCAGCCCAATTAGCCATTGACAGAAAGTATGTCAGGTTCTCCTTTCCAGCAACTAAGTTGTTGTTGTTCTTGCTCTCCTAGAAACATGCCCAAAGCAAGACAAACCTTTATCATATTTGCCTCCAAAAAGCAATCTGGCTGCACCGTCTTAGAGACCTTTCTGGGTTATTGGGTTGTTGTTGTTGTGCTGATTTTTTTTGTTGCATTTTTCTGTTGTTGTTGTTGTTGTTGTTTTTACTTTTGCAGTCCATGAAATATACAGCAGCTAGGAATGAAATGTTATTTCTAGAAACGGTTATGGATACAATAAGCATATTCAATACAGTCATGGGACATCGTACTTGGAAAGGTGGAGGGTCAGTGAAGAAGAGGAAGACCCTCAAAGAGATGGATTGATACAGTGTCTGCAACAGTGGACTCAGTCATGTCAAGGATGATAAGGATGGGTTCAGAGGTTCTGTTCATAGAGTTGCTATGTGTTGTACACAACTCAATAGCACTTAACAACCTCAATGTGGTTAAAAGCAAAAACAACTCAAATCCATTTCAGTCAAGTCTCCCGAATAGTGGATGGTGGATTTGAACCACTGGAGACTCTCTGCTTTGGGTTAACAACACAATTCGCTAGAGACTACACCACCAGGTCTAAATTTTTACCAAGATAAAGAGGATCCTAGTTGTTTTTAATTGTCTTAGTATTCAACTTCTCATGCAGAGTTAATTTTTGTACCGTTCCTTCTCAGCAGCCCTTTGAAAAAGCCTGTATTTGTAAATCTTTATGGGAGGGAAGTTCCTGGGTGGCACAATTACCTGATTTGTCTTCTAAGCAACAGGTTGAAATGCTTCTTTCCAGAACATAGTCTTGAAAATAAAACATCAGTCACTAAAAACTCTATTGAGACACACAGGGTTTCTGTGAGTAAGAATGGACTTGGATGGCAAAAAAAGCCTTTGTTTTTGTTCTGTTGTTTGTTTTTGAGAAGGAAAGGAAGCATTTTTTAAAAGAGAAAATTATGTCTTCATAGCCATTTCATAGTGTGTAATTCAATAATATAAAACAGTTATAAGGAATAACTTATCACTTGATCTTGATCCAAATTTCATCTCAGAAATTAATTACATCCTGGTAATCAGTACTTTTTCCTCTGGTCCATGCAAATATCCCCTTCCTTCCTCTCAAGGGAGTGATTTCACTGCCAGGGCCAGTGAGGCAGATTCTTTAATCACCTTTGGGGCAATGATTTTAATTTTCTTAACACTGGTTAAGTTTCTTGTTTTTCCAATGGATATTTTTAAAATCAAGATAAAATAAAATGCATAAACATTGAAAATATAGCTTGAATACATTTTGCATCTACATAAAACACATGCATAAGCATATGTGTGTGTGTGTGTGTGTATCTATATTTAAGTGTGCATGTCTTGTAAACATGTAAACATCACCAGATACTCTTGGACTCACTCATTGCTGTCATGTTGGAACCAAGTCATAACTGAGAACTGACCCTCCAGCAGGGTTTTGGAGGCTATCAGTCACACAGGAGGAAGATGTCCATCTTTCTCCTACTTGGAGTTGGAATTGTCCCACAGCTGACCCTCTAGTGGGGTTTCAGAGGCAGTTAATCACTCTATAAGAGATTGACTATCTTTCTCCCACCAAGCAGCTGGCGGATTTGAACTACATAGTTCATATTTTCATCTTTAGCATAGGAACTAAACATAGCATACATAGAATTCAGACAAGTCACTGTATTAGTAATTCTTCCTTTTCATTCCATTATATAAATAGATAGGGCTTGTTTATCCAATCTCCAATTTTAGGCTGTTGTAATAAAATACCTGAACTAGTTTTGGTTTTTAGATATATACTCTCTCTCAGTCTTTCTCTCTGTCTCTCCTTTCCTCCCTCCTTATCCCACTCCAATAAATTCTCTGGAGTGGCCACATCATAACGTGTGCCTGTGTACCATTTTATTAAACTCTAGCAATTCTTCCAAACTTCTCTGTTTCTCTCTGACCATTCTGCCATCCTACAGGGGAGCTTGGGTGACTTAGTGGTAAGGAGTTACACTGTCAACCAAAAGGTAGCTGATTCACCAGCTCCTGCATGGGAGAAAATCAGGTGAACCCTGAGTGATTTACAGCATCTTAAAATCCACTAGAGGGTCATCTATGGGTTGGTTTGGATTCAACAGTACTCAAAAATGAACACTCTGGGAATGGTCAGCTCACCAAAAGGTCTTATGTTTCAAATACACTGGTTTCTCTGTGGGAGAAAGAAGAATCAGTCTGTACTCATAAGGATTTACAGCCTGGATAATGCTGTGGGGCAATGATACTTTGTCCTAAATGGTCATTATGAGATGGCATTTGGGCCAAGGCAGTGGTAATGGTGGCAATGACCATTCTAAAGTAGGTGACTTCTGCCTCTGTTATCAGACCTGACCTCTGCCCTGCCATTTTCCTCCTTACAGGACAAGAAGGAGCAGTCACTCCCCATGGAGGCTCACAAAACGACGTGGACCACACAAACTGCGAGATCTTCACACTCACACCTCCTCCCACCACCCGGAAACCAGTGACAAGGGTCCAGCTCATCCCGTGGACACCCAGATGTCCCTTCCATTGTTTCCCACCAAGAAGACCCAGAGTTCACTTCAGGTTCCCCATTAGACCATTCGTTCCTCCAAGGTGCAATCACCGTTTTCAGTACCGTCCCAAGTTTTGGCCACTTGGTGGTCGTCATCCTCGTTATAATTATTTCCCCAGAAGATATCTACGGAGAGGAAGTTCATCTGAGGAAAGCTGAAAGAAAAAGAAGCTCCAATAAAAGCAAAAAAAAAAAAGAGAACATATTTGATTTGTTATCTATTTCAAGACTAAAAATAGTGGATTTGAAGATTAAATATAAAAATCCAGTGACTAAATTTTTCTCCGTGTCAGTTGTAAAAATAGTGGTTTATAGATTATTCATACTTTGCAACATGGTGGCCATTATTGCCAATTTTTATAAACTATAGTGTGTTTTTGTACATAAAATTTTTAAAAGGATAGTTCTAATAATTAATGCTCATACTTAGATGTCACAAGATTGATTCAATCCCTTTTGCTAAATTGGACTGAAGGACATTTAAATAAAGATTGTTAGGAGCCAAATGGAGACAGGAGTAATTTGCTCTTTTACTCACTAGAAAACCTACACAAAGTGCATTGCTGAAGTAGACTCTAAATAAAGACTAAAGTAAAACAAAATTGTGGGATGCTTGACTCTAAATAATATCTAAAGACCATAGACTGCGTTGTCGTTGTTGCAGTTAGTTGTCACTGAGTTAACCATTTCACGGTGACCCCGTGTGAGCAGATTAGAAGCGCTGTTTCCTAGGGTCTTCAGGGCTATGACCACCCAGAAGTCGACTGCCAGGCATTACTTCCAAGTCACCTCTTGGTGGATTTGAGCCCATTTGTCCTACTTAAAGACTATACACTGAATGATCTCACCAAAATAGTCTTTCCTAATTTAACTGAACTGTCTGAATTTATCTTACTGTTCTCTTTTTCAGCAAACAATGCAAATTAGTTTCACAAGTATCTGTTTGTCCTATTGTTGTCATATAGATACTAGCTCTAGTTACACACTTCCTCTAAGACTTTCAACATGGTTGCAGTCTCAATGACCTGATTTTCCAATGACACAGATGTCCCTGTGACTCTGGAACATCACTGGCATAATTTCACTCAGCTATGGGAACCCTGTATTCATGGATATCACTGTTGTGTTGTTGTTAGGTGCCCTCGAGACGTAGACGACTCTAGTGACCCTATGAGCAAAAGACCTGAACACTTGTATAACTTTCATCATTTAGAAGAAACAAATCCCACCAACTGCATTCACTGGCTACTTCTATAGTACTCAAGCCCACTGTTGCAGTCATTCCATCTCACTGAGGAGGCCGTCTTCTCTTTCACTGACCCTCCACTTTTCACAGCACGCTCTCTTTTTCCAGGTGCCTCTTGACAACAAGCTCAAAGTATCTGAGACCACGTTTCACCATACTTTCTTCTAAGGAGTTCCCTGGGTGCACTTTTTCCAAGACAGCTTTGCTAGACATATCTGAGAATCACTAGTAAAAAGGAAGATTCTGGGAATTGTTACTTGGGAAAAGGAGAGTGAAAAATAAAATCACCACGCTTTGTTTCCTTGATATACAAAAAAAATGGAAAGAAAAAAATTCCCTCACACAATTCATATTGTTGTTAGATGCCATGGAGTCAGTTCTGACTCATAAGAGATCTTGTGTATAACAGAATGAAATATTGCCTGATCCTATGCCAGCCTCACAATCGTAGGTGTATTCAAGCCCGTTATTACAGCTGCTATTTCAGTCCCTCTCATTGAGGATCATTCTCTTCTTCTCTGATCCCCTACTTTATAAATAATGGTGCCCTCTCCAGGAGCTAGTATATCCTGATAACACCATGCACACCTCTGTTCGGGCTGTATTTTTCCCAAAATAGATTTGTTCATTCTTCCCACAGTCTATGGTGCACTCAACACATGTTGTTAACATCATAATTCAAAAGCATCAACTCTTCTTCCTTATTTATTGTCATTGAAAATGCTGAGTTGGGTCAAGCAAACCTTGGTCCTCAGATCTTTGGGAAAGAAAATCTGTGACTTTGTAAGTTTTTATTATAGCAATAGATATTTGCTTTCATATTACAGGTTTAATTAAAAATGTAGTTGAAATCTTCATCAATAAACTATTTTGTTATAAATCTAGCTTGCTTTTATTTTTTTTTAAGTGGAAGCATAGCCCCAAAATGGACCACTTCAGGCAAATTCAGAAAAGCCCATAAGGTGTTGTATTGCTAACCCAAAGATAGAATCTTCTGGTAGTTTGAATCACCACTGGCTCTAAGGAAGAAAAATAAATAGTCTCCTCTTGTACAATTTACAGTTTTCGAAAAACTTGCTGAAAGGTCAGCTGTGAGTTCATTCCAACTCAACAGCAATGAATTTCAGACAAACTTGGAGACAAAAGATTAAAAAAAAAAATTATGGTTTACCTGAAAGTTTATAATTTGGCTTTCTAATCAATAATTCATATGCATTTTGTTTTGTGATATTTACAGAAATCCCTGCCACTTTCTGTTTTCAGCAATCCTTTCTTCCTTCGGAGCTTTATCTGTGAGGAAATGCTGCTCTTTTTTATCTTGTAGATTTGATAGTCACAATGCGTATCTTTCTGATGTTTTTGCTAACTGTATATTGTCGTTGTGTACGGTGGAGTCAGAACTAACCACAGAAAAAAAAAAAAGAACTAACCACAGAAAACCTTCCAACCAGTTTTCAGAAGCCGTAGGTCCCACAGGCTGGATTGCCCATCTTTCTCCCACAGACCAGCTGATGGACTCAAACTGCATGCCTTCAGGCTGACAGCACAGCTCCTTATCAGTTGTTACTGTTGTTGTCTACCATCTCATCAGAACTGACCCATAGCTGACCATCCAGCTGGTTTTCAGAGCCACTAAATTTCATGGGAAAAGATTGTCCATCCTTTTCCCATAGAGCAGCTGGTGGATTCAAACCATGTGCCTTTATAATTATAGTGCAGCTGTCAGGTGCCAGTTGATATAATTACAACATATATCAACCCCGTGAACTACAGGTTCCTTTACAGATTTATCTATTTGGGACTGAAAATTGGACCACAAGGTGGTTTCAACTCCAAACTTGAAGGGTGTCTAAGGGCCATAGACTCAGAGTTTAAGTCAGATAAAGATTGCATTTGCTTCTCCCCTCCCTTTCTGGACGTTTCCCCCTATTCAAGCATGCTTTCCCAGGTACTCAGTGCCCTCACTATGTCCCCGACTGTGTGCCACCAACCTGGCCGATACTGGGCCCTCTGTCTTCAAACACTAAAAGTCTTGCCATCCAAAAGTGTCTTGAACCAGAGTTTCTCACACCCTTGTCAGGTGATATGTAGACCTCAGAAACACTATAACAAACTAAAAATAGATTAACAGCCTAAATGTGTTTAGCACTGTGATATAGAAAGCAAGCTATTCCTGTAGAGTTTTACAGTAAAGCCCTCTTTAAAAATAACTCTAGGCAAAATATGCCATTTCTCTTGCTGAGGCATGTATAGAATTGTCTATAAAAGAAACAGTTAACACCTGCAAGTAAAACTATGTACCTTTGAAACTTTTAAAAAGAACTGCATAATTTTGGGGGTTAATTTTAAAGTAAATGGGATCCCTAGCAGGTGTATTGATTCATGAGGATAGTCTTCAATCAATAATACCTCAAAGCCAATTTGTCCAAGTATGTTTCTCCTAACACATTAGTAAATTAGGTACTTTGAGTTCAAGCGTGTTAAGTTGTTGTTGTCATATACCGTCGAGTTGGAACCAAACCATAGCTGGCCCTCCAGCAGGTTTCCAGAAGTAATTTAATCATAAAGAAGGAGATTGTCCATCTTTCTCCTGCGGAGCAGCTGGTGGATTCGAAAGGCATGCCTTTGGGTTTGCAGTGTAGCTCCTTACCACTAGGCCACCAGAGACCCCACTGTGTGTGATGCTGTGTGACAGCGATCACAGCCATGTGAGCAGATTCCCTCTCCAATATGTATACAGGTCAAGCCCATGTTGTTCAAGGGTCAACTATATTCTTGGTCATCATATTTATTATTTGTCCTTTATGTCAGAACATGAGCTCCTTAAAGGTAGAAGTGTATTTGCCTATTGTTTTCCTTTATCAGAGAACTTAGAATTATGTCTGTAACATGATCAACTCAATTCATTGCCATCAAGTTATGAGCTGACTCATAACTGACCCTCCAGCAGGTTTTCTGAAGGTATAATCACATAAGAGAGTTTGCCCTCCTTTCTCTCCAAGAGTCGCTGATGGATTTGAACTGCCAGAGAGAACCTGCCTTTAGCAGTGTAACTCTCTACAGACTAACCCACAAGGCCTACAGAGTAACACATAAATGTTTAGTTTGAGCTCCTCGCTGAATTTTTAAATATTTAAGGAGGCCAGATGGCATGGTGTGTAACGTATGAGGCTGCTAACTGAAAGACCTGCAGTTCAAATCCACCAGCTACTCCATGGGACAAAGAAGGGCAGCCTCCTCTCATAAGGATGTATATATCGCCTGAGAAACTGAATGAAGGGTTGCTGTGAACTAGAATCAGCTCAAGAAAGGCAGCAGGTTTTAGCTGATATCTAAACCTATTTCCTTCTGAATGTCACATGTATCAGAGTTTCAAGTTTTAATAATCTTCAACCAAGCAGGGGGAAAAAAACCAACAAATCAACTCTTATTTAAAAAGAGAAGACATACACGATGCTCTCAAATAAAACCTCTCATAGTTTAAATAGTTACTGGCCACTGGTGCATGTGCTCAACCTCCCTAAAGCAATTTTTTAAAAAGCCATTTTAAAAGGAATCTTTCCCTATTTCACAGTAGATGCAGTCTCTTGACAGTTTGTTGAAAGATAGACGAGAATGATAACTAGAGATGAAGAACCCTCCAGCTTTCTTGCCCATTTAATTTTATTCTTTTTCAGACTTTCTTTAGAACAATCTATCAGTGTAATTTTTGCTGTTGTTTCACTTGACTCTAATCCCCTTCGTAAAATTCCTGCTTCAAAGGTTAAGTAAAACATATGTGGTTAATTGTTTGGCCTGTCTCTTCAAACTGTTATTTTAAAAAGATTTGCTCAACTAACAAGAAGAATTTTATACTGTATCAACAAAGCTTAATTACTTACTCACTCTTTACCATTAAGTCAGAACCAACTCA